GTGTTTCGCATACATGTTTATACCAATTTTCTTACTATAAAGTTTGGAATTCAGTGTATTCGGTGTTTCGCATACATGTTGTCTCTTTTATGTGAACCTCTGATTTCTTGATCAATGTTACATATGCTTGAGTTTTATTAATAGATCGTTGCTTAGTTGACTGTTATGGCAATTTAATTGGGAAAGTTGGTATTAATTATTAATAGTTGATACAAGGATGTGAGCAAGGAAACCTTCGACATCTGAGTAAGGGTATGAACTCTTATTGCTCTTAGTTTCTTTTCTTTTTGTGTTAACAGGTTAATTTTTGAAAGTTCATCTTGGTTTTGAACCTTTGCTGGTAAAAAAAAAAAATGTTTTTTGAAAAAAATCCTAGCAAGTTATTGGGTGACGAGTTTGCTCATCATTTTGAGTAGTATGTAAAATATCTGCATTTGTGTTGCACGTCATCTCCTGCTTGCTTCTGCTTCCTTGATGTTCTATCTTGTTTGTTTATTTTCTTATTGTCAGATGTTTTTGTGTGAGAGAATTTCTTTTCTTTTTTTCTCCCCTATAGATAGAAAATGACCTGTTTTGTGCAATGTTTTTGAGTATTGAAACTAAAGAAAAATCATTAGTGGGTAGTAGAATGACACTGGAACAGGAATCTTGTTGCTTCATGCTCTAGCTGCTTAAGCAATTCAGGGAGATAACATTAATGATCTAGGCACTTCATCTGTTGCAGGCTCACAGCTATCACAAAGAATCCACGGCACCCTCCTGGGTTTATTTATGCGTGGGATGTATTCAACCACCTAAAGGGAAGAGGAAGAACACATCAAGATTCGCATGATAAAGTGATAATGAGTTAATGACATATACAAAGCTAAATATTTAGACATGTTTATATTGTCATGAATCTTATGATTGTCTAATTTTCAATCTAAACCTTGTCAATGTCTTTCACTGGCAGAAATTGAAGTCACATGATGTAAACTCGAACATGACCGGTCTCTTATTGTCCAACAATTGCTTATATTATTTTTAATTTGATACATTTTTTTTAAAGATAATTTGATACATTAGGTAAACTCAAAATTCATATTTATTTTAATATTTTATATAAATTAGCCTACTAGCTCAACATGTAGAGCATTGTGCAAATGCACAAAAAATGTGGGTTCGAATCCCACGTAGGTTGATTTGTGTAATGTGGAGACAAGTGTATGTTTAAGAGTTTTGTTGTAACATAGTTTCCATAGGCATTTTTTGTTCGTATAACTTAGTCCTATTTAATTTTTTATGATTTTTTATGGTTATTTTTAGAGATAACCTATGCAGGAATCGAACCTACATCTCTATGCATTTGATTGATGTACACGTTTTATACATTGATTTATCCCGATTTTACATCATATTCTTGTTCGGTTTAAGGCTCTTTAGAGCCGTTTCTCACTAACAATCTCTTCTCTAGTGTGTTCGATGTGTTTTTGTAATTTTTACAGGAATTTGGTGTTTCTTGGATGATTCAGACACGTTTCGGATGTTTATGGAGATGTTAGTGAAGCAAAGAGGAAGAACCAAGCTAAGTACGAGTTATAAAGCAATTAAACCTCCTATGCCCGGTTGGGCTATGCTTGCTCGGTTGGACCGAGCACAGAAGGGTCGTTTGGAGCTGCTAAGTACAAAGATTTGAAGCGCATTTGGCTATTAGTCCCACGCGCCCGATCGGGCTAGGTGTGCCCGGTTGGACCGAGCGCGTGGTGGTAGAAGATGTTAGAAGATCAAACAAGGCAGCCAGCAAATTGAGCCTCGCGCCCGATTGGGCGCCAATTGCCCGGTGGGATCGGGCGCCAGGGAGTTGAAGAGAAGAAAAGCAGCGTAGCTTATAAAGTTCCACCTGCCCAATCGGACAGTGCTCGCCCGGTTGGACCGGGCACAGTTATGCGGAACCCGATTTCATTATTTTCGAATTTTTATCTCATTAAGGGTATAAATACCCCTTGTATTCACAATTAGAAAACACTTAGTTAATTCCTTAAGCTTTATTTCTCTTTCTAGAACCCTAGTTACTTTTCTTCAAGCATTTTAATTACTCATTAGATTTAATTATTGTTCATCAACAATTTAAGTTATTTCAATTGAAGCATCATTGGTGTTCATCTATTTCTCTTCTCTTTCAATAATTATTGTTCTTAATTATGTTTTCTCCATTGATTATTGTTTTAGGGTTTGCTAATATGTGTGAGTAGTTTTATATTCCAAGATCTAGGGTAGCCCAATTGTGATTGATGCATGAATTGATTCTTTAAATTCTCTAATGACAATTGCGATTATTTATGCTAATTTGATTGTGATTATGCCAATACTAGATTAGAGATAATTAGTGTTGTTGTTATTCCATAGTTTTAATCACAACGAGAGTTGAGTTTTAACGGATTTGAGTAGATCAATTTAGGGTTGGAGATTCATCACGAGAGTAGCTGAATTGATAATTGGGAAGTGAAGTAAAGTGTTTAATGTCTCTAATTTGCATGATTCCATGAGAATAGGCTTGATTGTGGTTAGAGAAGCCATTGATATTCGAGATAGGTCCTTGGTATTGAATAGGATTTGCTTTTCCCCATGTTGATTGGATTGTATGCTAGGGGTAGATAGATAATTGCATCGATCGTAATTGTGGTAATACTTGATCTTGGATGTTTTAGTTTATTGATTCATTATATTCTTTAGATTAGTTTAGTTCTCATACATTAGTTTCTAGTACTATTCACCATTGATTTGATACTTGCTTAGTGATATTTGAGTCTAATTAATTCGGTGAGCCTTAGTCTCTTGAGATTCGATCCTTACATGTCTGTCTACATAGTAGTGGTCTCGTTAGGTTATTTTTGTTAGGTACGCGACACGCCTATCATGCATAGTGCTCTACCACTTGAACTAATAGGTTTTAGCATGCCCAACGATTAAATAATGTATTGTAATTCAACCCTATGTTCTAAGCTTTAATTTCAATTTTCTAAAAAATGTTCAAAATATTTTTTTCTACCTATGTTCTAAATAATTTTGTCATTTCCTATATTCTAAATTTAGTCTACTTATGTTCTATTTTTTTTCCTATGTTCTAAATTTTTTCTACCTATGTTCTATTGTTTTTTTTCCTATGTTCAAAATATTTTTTTTACCCATGTTCTAAATTCTTTTGCCTATATTCTAAATTCAGTCTACTTATGTTCTAAAGTTTTTTTTTTCCTATGTTCTAAATGTTTACTACCTATGTTCTAATTTTTTTTTTATGTTCTAAATATTCTTTATCCTATATTCTAAATTTAGTCTACTTATTATGTTCTAAATATTTTCAACCTTTCTAATTTTCTCTTATGTTCTAAATTTTTTCTACCTATGTTCTAAATATTCTTTTACCTCTATTCTAAATTTTTTTGCCTATGTTCTAAATTCAGTCTACTTATGTTCTAAATTTTTTTTTCTTATGTTCTAAATTTTTACTACCTATGTTCTAAAGTTTTTTTTTATGTTCTAAATATTCTTATACCTATGTTCTAGATTATTTTTTCCTATGTTCTAAATTTAGCCTACTTATGTTCTAAAGTTTTTTTTTCCTATGTTTTAAATTTTTTCAACCTATGTACTAGTTTTTTCCTATGTTCTAAAGTTTTTTTTTCCCTATATTCTAAATATTCTTTTATTTATGTTCTAAATTCTTTTGCCTATGTTCTAAATTCAATCTACTTATGTTCTAAATTGTTTTTTTTTTCCTATGTTCTAAATTTTTACTGCCTATGTCATAAAGTTTTTGTTTTTTATGTTCTAAATATTCTTTTATCTATGTTCTAATTTTTTTTCCTATGTTCTGAATTTAGTATACTTATGTTCTAAATTTTTTCAACTATAGACAATATCCAAAACAACAACAACAACAAACATATTAAAAAGTAATCCGCCTTTTAGCATTTCCCAAACCAAATTCAATCAAAATATCACAGCCTCATCATATCATTTAGTAGTAGTATTATGATAATATCAAGAATGCATCCACTCAAATGCTCAAATATTCAACATTCTTAAACAATTTCCTCTACAACACTCATAATTCTACCAAAAAAAAAACCGTAATTTCAAGCTTGATTAAGCTAGGCAATGTCATAATACAGAGCACAAAGAACAACATTTAATGATGAAAAAATCAAACACATTACAAATCAGGTTAAATTCAAAAATGCAAATCACAGAACAATAAATCAAAAACTTCAAAAGTTATCAAATTCCAAACACAATTAGAACAGGAGAAGACATCTACCGATAAAATTCGACGGATTTGAGCTCACTAGAAGAAATCATGTTGTTCAGACAATAATTTTGCTAGTATTGTGGAAATTGAAGAGTGACAATGAAAATTAGGGATCTGTTGAGCGAAAATTGAGGAGAGAGGGAAGGCATTTCTAGCAGCACCAGCTCCATCGATCATACGAAGACAGCATTTTCTACGGCTTGTCATCTCTTCTTCGCCGCCGAATTGATCTCTGTCATCCGTAGCGATCGTCTTCTCGTGGTTTGATGGTTAGATTGAGTTGGAGCTAGGGTTAGGGTTTATTTGTTGAGTTCTTGTTAAGAAGCTAGAGTTTGGTAAGGAGGTTAAGAGGAGAAAAGATCTAAAGATTGAGGTAAACTTTCAGAGAGACTTTGAGCTTCTCCATTGATGAAGAAGATGGAAAGTGTGAATCGCAGAGATGGATGGAGAAAATAGGGAAAAGTGAAAAAGAGTTGAGAGAGAGAGCGCTAGCATAAAAGGTAAAAGGAGAGTTAGGCAAGGGTCGTGGTTTTTTTATGTGTTCCATATAAGTGCTACCCATAATCAAAGTGTTACATGAAAGTGTTACTCTAATTAAAAGTGTTACTTTGAAGTGTTACAAAATACAAGTGTTACCTATTATCTAAGTGTTACAAAATTGTTACTTAAATATCTATTTATATCTTGATTTATAAAGTGTTACCATAAGGTGTTATATTAGGCCAACCTTGTAGTATACTCGTGCTTCGCCTTTAGCAACTTTTTCCCTAACAAAATGAATGTCCATTTCAATATGCCTAGTACGCTGATGCTGTACCGGATTACCTGATAAATAAATGGCACTCACATTGTCGTAATAAACTAGAGTATTTTTATGAATAGGAAAATGTAGTTCAAGCAATAAATTTCAGATCCAACAAGAATCTGAAACCACGTTAGCAACTCCACGATATTTAGCCTCAGCACTAGAATGAGACAAAGTTGGTTGTCTTTTAGACGACCAAGAGATCAAGTTGTCACCTAGAAAAACACAATAACCAGATGTAAAACGTCTGGTATCTAGGCATCCTCCCTAATCAACATCTATATAAGATATAAGATTTTGGAGAGAAGATTTATACACGTGTAGTCCATGAGACAATGTGCCCTGAAAGTAGCGCAATACAATGTGCCCTGAAAGTAGCGCAATATGCGCTTTAGAGCACTCATATGCTCGTTCCTGAGATCATGCATGTGAAGACAAACCTGTTAAACTACATAAGAAATGTCAAGTCTAGTGAAAGTGAGATATTGTAAAGCATCAGCAAGACTCCGATACTTAGTGGGATCCTCATAAGGTGAATCCTTTGAGGCACTAAGTTTTGGTTTGGTGTCAACAGGAGTAGGATAAGAAGCATCGTTAGCCATGCAAGCTCTTTTAATGATCTCCGTGGCATACTGTTTCTGAGACAAGATCATACCACTAGCATTGCGGGAGACAGCAATTCCCAAAAAGAAGCTTAGAGGACATAGATCCTTCGTAGCGAACTCGGCACTCAAGAGAGCCATAAAATGCCTTCTTAATCGATCCGAAGATGCTGTAAGAATAATATCATCAACATACAACAAAATATATGCCATATTTGAGCCTTACCGATAAATAAATAGTGAGTTATCAGATAAACTGTGAGAGAAAATAATACTGGCCACAAAATCTGCAAAACGCTAATACCGAGGAGCCTGTTTGAGGCCATAGAGAGATTTCTTCCGTAAACAGACATGAATAGGCCGACTTTTGTCACGGAAACCCAAGGGCTGATGCATATAAATAGTCTCGTTGAGATAACCATGTAAGAAAGCATTTTTGACATGTAACTGATGAATGGGCTAAGACTTAGTGAGAGCAATGCTAAGAACAGTACGAATATTAGCCGGTTTGACAACCAAACTAAAAGTCTCATCACAATCAACACCCTGCTGGTGAGTTTTGCCATCACCTACAAGACGGGCTTTATGCCTCTCAAAAGAACCATCAGAATTCTTTTTATGACGAAAAATCCATATAGACCTAATGACATTCACATCCTTTGGCCTAGGTACAAGTTCCCATGTATTATTAGCAATTAGAGCATTAAATTCATCTAACATTGCATTTTTCCAATTCGGATCACGGAGAGCACTAACTGGGTTCTTAGGTAGGGGAAAAATATTAGTGGAAGTCACAGTGGCGAAGTTGGAAAAATATTTGGAGTCAGGCTTTTAAATACCATTTTTTCCTCTAGTTGTCATTTGATGGATAGTTCGCATAGGGGAGGTGAAGGCAAACCAGGTTGTTGTACGGGGCCTTGCAACGTGACAGTACCAGGTGATTAGTGTGGGCTTGGAGAGTGAGGCCCAGCCGAAGAGTGAATAGGAGGAGGTGGGCCTGAGGAGGACGGCCCAGAAAAAGAAGTTGGGTCAGTTTGTGGCGTCAAATTTTGAGGAGTGTTGCTTTGAGTTTTCAAGTGATGTAGAAGTGGATTAATATCCAAAAAATAATATGTATATACACGACCAGATTCCTTGTCGTAATTTTTGTTTCCAACTATTTAATGGTACTTATCCACGACCAATAATTTTATAATTACGACTAGATTTTCCATCGTTATTTTTTCATTAACGACAAGCAAGATCACTAGCGGGTTGTTATTCTGGGATTAACGTCCATTGCAATTTTGTTGCAATTTTTTTTTTTTCTTTTTTTTTGGGTTTGATATATAGCACAACTTCATAATAATCACTTCAATTTTATTCATTGTCATTATATATAGCTTAGAACAACATAATACACATATCCAAAAGTAAGGATGTATGTCGCTCCCAAGTTACTAAGCATCGCTAGCATTTTTTCCTTGAAATTCCGTATTTACCCTTCGTATATAAATACTTACGACACTTCCAACACATTTCACGCTCGATAAACTTAAAAATCTGAAATTAAAAAAAAAAAACACAGAAAATTCACAAAAATAACTAATATTAACTAATAATACTAATACTAATTACTCAAATTATCACAAAAATAATAATAATCACAATAAAAATTATAATTATCATACAAAAATTACATTAATAGATTTGATTAATTAATTTTTAAAAAAAAAACGTTTTGGTTAATTAAAAAAAAATAAAAAATAAAATAAAATTGGACATCCGCCTAAAAAATCTGGATCCTCCATGGTGGCGGATCCACCATGGAAGATCCGGAAATTCTAGGCGGATGTGTACATCTGCCTAGAATTTCCGGATCTTCCATGGTGGATCCGGAAATTTTAGGCGGATGTACGCTTTTCAAAAAATAAAAATAAAAAATTTCGAGGACTTACATAATCCTCCGACGATGCCTCCGGTGTACGATCGTTGTCGTCATCCATCGTCCTAAACCCGTCGCTAATGCTTAATAATTTTTTTTTTTAAAAAAAATGGGATTTTTGGTGGTGGGCTCGAGAATTTTGGGTTGGATGTCGTGGGGTTGGATGTGGTGGGATCGGGAATTTTTTTAACCAATTGGTGGATCGGATGTGCTCGGGAATAATATTAAAATGCTCGAAAATCTTTTTAACCAAGTGGTGGAGCCTTATATAGTCCAAGTTATGGAAAGGGCAATATGGTCCTTTCATGTCAAAATGGGAGCGACGTCTGGTAAATTGGGAGCGACGTTTAGCAGTTCACGACATTTACCATGAAAAACAACAACAAAAAATCATAGTATTGTGTCTAAATATATCCATCAAACTAAAATTAGAAGATATAAAAAAGTATTGATTTATCTACAAGTTGAGGATCCAAAGAGCATCAGATCAATGTATGTTGAGCCTTCGACAGTAGTTCTCTAATTGTCTACTATTACCTGCATTTATTAAAACACAAGGAACATTTAGGATAGAGAATCGAACGAACATACAAAATACCTATATAATAACAATCTAAATGTTGAAACAAATACGTTAATGAGCTTACAATCATAACACAAAATATTGATGGAAGAAACCTATATATACTAACACTTAACAGCAATAGTACTTAAATCTTTTATCACATCGACCTTCACCAAAATCTTTTATCACTTCGACAACTTGCTGGTAGAGTTACAAGCTAATTTTTAGATATTTGAAGGTACTTTTAGTAGGCTAAATTTATTTTTATAGGCTAAATTTATTTATGCTTATAGTATAAATCATCACTTTAATTAATTTCACTGCTAATAAAAACTGATTGTCAAGTATTGAATTTACTTATAATTAACTAGGATATGATGAGTTAATGATAATAAGAATTGGTTATTGGCGGTTTAATTTGTTGCTTGTTTTTGATGTCGTTTTGCTTTGTTGGATTTCTTTCACTTACTGGCTATATATTTTTCTTCAGCTTTTGTTGTATTTTGTTATATGGCTGTAATCTGGATATTATTTCCTAAAGTATTTTGAGGTTGTTTTCGATCTGTTGTAATTTACCCTACAATTTATTTCTGATCAGTAGCGTTATGCTATGAATTGATTATTGCTTTTCGTTTTGACCGATTTTATTTTAAATTTGAATTATAAAAAAATATAAAAATTGACTTGGAAAATTTAGAGCATCTTAACAAGTTAATTCTTAGGCCGATTGTAAGTTAGTAAGGTTCAGCTCAAATTAATCATCTTTATGTTCCTGTTGCTCATAACTATATATGCTGCTACTTTAGAGTTTGATCATATTTTGAATGCTAGGGATACATGTGACGATGTTTGGATATTTAGAAGAAATGTTCCAAAGATATGTGCTAACCTATAATCTTTATTTTGTAGGTTGTGTTAGGGAAGTAAATGCATGGAAAAGGTGTAAAAATGGATGGTATGTACTATTTTGTGGAATGACTTTTGGGGCATGATTATGGATCAGGAGTGGATGGATCATAGTGATTATGAGAGTGATTTTGGAACAATGATGGATATTTTTTTGGACAGTGATGGATGTATAAGTTTGTTGTGATGATTGTCAAATATTTTAAAATATTAATTAATGTAAATTTATATTATTAAAAATAAACTTTTTGTACTAGGAAATCTAATTTAATACAATATTATAGAAAATCTAAAGTGTGCAGGTACATTACATTGCTGTTACTAAAATAATATTTACCTATTCTAAATATTATAATTTCATCTTTTGTAACAGATAAAATCGTTGACAAATAAACAAATATGTTTAGTAACGGCAAAAGTTGTTGCAAATATTATAAATAATTTATCTTAATTAATATATTTTAATAACATTTGCAACGATATACGCGTTTCCAAACATGTTAATTTTTTTACAATGACAGTAATTGTTGCCATAAACTACTATTTTCAATTTGAATACTACTATGTATAGCAACGACATATTTATCCCAACGAAAAAAGTCATTGTCAAAAATAAGTTTTTTGCATCGACAAAAGTCGTTACTCTCATTTTTTGTGACGCCCATAACCGCAACGACCTTGCAACGATAATTGTCATTGTCAAAGATATTTTTGGCAACGACAAACTGTTTTTAGCAATGACATTTGTCGTTGTAAAAACAGGTTTTCTTGTAGTGAAATATACTAACACTTAACAGCAATAGTACTAAATCTTTTATCACAACGACCATCACCAAAAGCACACACAACATAAACAAGGTTGATGCAACTTTTTATATCAGTACTTTACACCAAAATTTAGAATCCAAGATCCACACATTAAAAAATTATTACAATATAAGTTACAGTATAAGTTAATCACTTTACTATTTTCCCTTCATAATTAGAATCCAAGATCCACACATTAAAAAATTATTGATGTTATGTAATGTAATTTGTATGGGATCACTCAGATAATAAATTAATTTTATGTGGCCCAAAAACAAATTACAAGGAAATTAGCAGAATAACGCTCCAACTTTCCTAAACAACAATCTTCAAAGAAAGACAATTAAAAGTTAAACTCCATAGACCATCATCCTTTTAAGCTACTTTCTGCAAGTATGAGTACTAATTTTGCTATTTTTGCACTTTCAATTTAATTTTTAGATTAATCTTACACTCTCTCCACCCTAAAATTTCCAATTATGAAAACCTGCCTCTCTACTAATAATTGTAAGAACTAACCTTAAAGCATGATAATGTTGACCAATTCAAATACACAAGAGTAAATCACAAACCAGCTTGGAATTTGAAATAATTTTGTAATAAAGATTTTTTTGACTTTTACCACCAAAAAAATTCAAAAAATTGTTTTTTACCACCAAAACTTCTAAAACTTTTATTTCACCATAAAAAAAAATTCTTAAAATTGTTTTTTACCACCTATCGTCAAGAAAACCATAAAATCTAACGGTTTAAATTTTTTTTTTTATTTTCGTGCGCAAAACATGTTCTTATAAGTTTAGAGGGGCGTTTTAGCCATATGAGTCTAATTTGAGGTCAGAATTGACAAAAATGATCGAAAATGCCTCGTTTTGCGTGTTTCATGCAAATCGAGGTATTTTTAAACACGCAAAACGAGACATTTCCAATCATTTTTTATCAATTGCGACCACTTAGGCCACAACATTACTCGGTCAGGATCAATTCTGTGATTGCGAGGTTCGAGTACATCCT